CTATTGTCCCTATACCCAGCTGGTGGGGATCCTTTTCAGCCCAAGAGCTGCAGTTCTTCATAGGCGACCATGCTGGGGGTGGGGGCTGCCTGCCAGTTGATGGGGAGGCAGAGGAAGAAGTGGGTAGAGGAAAGGATACAATGCTTACCTTTGCACAGGAGACTCCATCACAGCTATGCAGATGCCTCTGAGGCTTCTACACATACACCCCTCCCTCCCTCCCTCCCTCCCTCTTTCTCGCTTCTGAAGGCAGAGCATGGCCATGAAGGCCAGCAGCTGTTGATAAGCCGTCTCCATGAATTTATCAAATCCTCTTTTAAAGCCATCCAAGTTGGTGGCCATTGCTGCCTCCTGCAGCAGAGAGTTCCATAGTTTTAACAACAACATGCCTGTATTTACACACAGCCAGAACAAGACTTGGCCTCAGGAGCTTGCCCTTAAATATATTTTGGGCACACACACACACTTTTCTGCGGTGGGGAATATATAATTGACGGTGTGACTTGGGGGAGAGAACGCACGCTTACAAAATGTGCGAGGAAAGGCGTATGTTACGGGGGGGAACAGCAAATACAGATTTTTGTTGGAAAGTAACTGTTAACGCATAAGAGGATATTGCCGGGTTGACAAGCTGTAAATAGTCACTGCTGGTGGAATTTAATATCCTCCTGACTTCTGACAGAGATGTTTCGATGAGTCTCCTGCCATCTCTGCAGCCGCTCAGAGCTGCTCTGTCTCTGACTGCCTTGTCAGATTCCTCCTTTAGCCAAGGCAGGGAACAAGTCCCTCCACAATCCCCTTTTGTTTCCAGGAAGGAGAGAGCCTTGCAGAAGAACTCCCTCTTTTCTCCCTTATTTCTCAAGGTTCTTCTCCCTCTGCATAAACCTCTTGCCTGTCATGGTTTATGACATCAGCCCAGCCGCCCGCATGAATTACGGTTGCGTTCAGTTCAGCGTTGCTGGATTTACAAGGTGAAGATATTAAGGGGAAAGTCTGCGTTAAATTAACAGACTTTGGGCTTTGTTGAACTTGTTGCTACCACACGGTACATCTCAAGGACCCTTTTCAGACCCCAGAACGTTGAATGGAACTCTGAAGGTTGGTTGGTTTAAAGCAATCTAGGGCTCGCCGGAGAGTTTGAACTATAACTATAACTGAACTATAACTCCCATCAGCGCCTGGCCGTCTTGAGTGACTTGTAAAAAAAAATCAGAGATCCGGTGCTGACCAGCATTTCTTTGACACAAAGACATGGATCTGAGCCAGGGATCCTGGTATGTTTTGTTAAGGGATCCCCTCAAAAGCACCATCAAATCATAGGTCGCCTTTGTCCACAGATGCATTCTGTGATTTGTTGCTGGTTTAGTTGTCCTTTGTAAAAAATAATGATCATGAATATCCATGAGGATCTGTGCCCTGGAGCAATGTATTTTGTGATATCTCCCCCTCCCCTTTTTTCATGTGCAGTCTACGTGATGTACACTTGAATTTGATGGTGATATATAGAGAGGGGGGAGGCAGTGTAGAATTGTGTAAATTCAAGAGGGCCTGTTTTTCTTACCCAAAGAAAAGCAAAGTGTGTGTTGTGTGTATGCAGTGCACTCACATGCTTTCTCTCTGTCTGTCTGTCGTGTGTGTGTGATGAGAAACAACACACGCCCCTTGGCACATGCCCCAGATTAAAAAAAACCCCAAATTGCAAATGGGTTCATGGGCTCTGAAAGGTTGATGACCCCTCAAACACAACAGAACTCAGGCATGGTATAAGGCAGCTTTCTACACTTGAGTCAGACTATTGGTCCATCTAACTTAGTGTTGTCTACACTGACTAGCAGCAGCAGCTCTCCAGTGCTGCAGGCAGGGCTCTTTCCCAGCCCTACCAGGGGGTGCCAGGGATGGAACCTGCGATTTTCTGCATGCAAAGCAGATTCTTTGCCGCTGCAATGAGAGGGTGGAAGTGGCGAAACCTGGGGAAGCTTCTTTCTGTCTCCCAGGATGCTCAGCTGCTGACCTGAAGGTGACCAGAGGTCAAGAAAGAAAACTTCAGAGTGAGACTCCAGCATGGAATGCACCACCAAATTAGATTCTGTTCAGTATGGACCTAATTGGGATTGTGGGTTTCTTTCCCACTACAGGTATTAAGATACGATGCCTACGACAGCTGTTGGGAATGTGTTAGTTTGTTTTTACAGTATTCTGCTTAGAGCAGGCATCCCCAACCTTCGGCCCTCCGGATGTTTTGGACTACAGTTCCCATCATCCCTCACCACTGGTCCTGTTAGCTAGGGATCATGGGAGTTGTAGGCCAAAACATCTGGAGGGCTGCAAGTTTGGGATACCTGGCTTAGAGCATGGTGCAGACAACACCAAGATTACAGTCTGAGCCCCATATGGTACAGCTGCATTGCAGGGGGTTGGACTAGATGATCCTCAGGGTCTCTTCCCACTCTGCAATTCTATGGTTCTATGAAGTTATTTGCTGGTGCAGGGGGGTATGTAAAAATATCACGGACTTATTAAAAATGCCTTGCATTTTGTAGAATTCTGCTCCCACTGCAAATTAAGTTTTGTATTCCTTTGTGTCTGTGTGCGTGTTTATAGATAATACGTATTTGCCAACAGAGACTGGCTTCCCCTGCGTCTTCTGAAGTGGGCTGTGAAGTTTTCAAGGTGCTGCAAGGCTCTTTCTCCCTCCCTCCCTCTCTCCCACTTGCTAATTTGTTCTGGGGCTGTTTTAGCATGGAGATTTGCAGTGTGATCAAACACTATGTAGATTTCCAGCCTCCCCCGATAAAAATCTTGACAGGAGCTGAGATGCATTTGGGAAAAGCTGCTGCAACAGGACAAAAGTAGTGGGGGGGGGGAGGGAGGAGAGCTGTGGGTTATTAGAACAGACTTTGTCACGTCAGTGAACCTGGAAATCTGCATCTCTCGGCTTGTCACTATTACTTTGTGACCTTATGGATCTTAATGTTGCCCATCTGTTATTGGTGAAGCCGCCGATGTGTCATGCCGTTAATAGGGTAGCTTATTCAGCAAGAGCGCTTGACCCGTAATCAATGGTGGAGGCCAGGGGCTGTAAATTAAACAACATCTGACTATTGCCTGATATGCTTTTGGTGCAGTCCTGGGACTGAGAGTTGCAAGTGCCGGTGAAGGGCACCTCCCTGATGAAGGGCCTTCGCTCAGTGGCAGAGCACCTGCCTTGCATGCAGAAGATCCCAGGCTCAGTTCTCAGTTGGCATCTCCAGGTGGGGCTGCGGGGAAAGGCCCCGGACCTGAAAACTTGGAGAGATGCTGCCAGCCAGTGTGGGCAGTACAGTGGTACCTCGGTCTATGAGCAGTCTTGCTAACGAACGCTGCGGACAGTGACCTCCGCAAAACCGGAAGTAGGTGTTCCGGTTAGCGCACTTTGCCCCGGAAGACAAACGGGAGGCGTCATTCCGGACCTCCGGAACGGATTAAGATTGTAACCCGAGGTACCACTGTATTGAGATAGATGGACCCAGTGGTCTGGCTCAGCAGAAGGCAGCTCCCTATGTTCCTATTTCAGCCAGCTCTTTCATTCAGAAACCTGAGGACCTGAATCTCAGGGAAGGGGCATCGCTAAGTGGTAGAAGCATCTGCTTTGCATGTAGAAGGTCCCAGGTTCAGGTCCCAGCACCATCTCCGGGTAGGGATGTGGAAGAGACCCCTGCCTGAAACCCTGGAGAGATGCTGCCAGCCAGTGTGGGCACTACTGGGCTAGATGAACCCAATGGTCTGACTCACAAAATGGCAGCTTCCTGCATCTTACCTCCATCCTCATCTTTGCACATGGAGGCACAGGGACTGTGTGCTTATTCCTTTTCCTGGAGTGGGGGGGGGGGAATGACTTTTACATACCCTCCAACATTTCTGCGATGAAAATAGGAATGTCCTGTTTAATAAAAATAATAATAGTAATAATAATAGTAATAATAATAATACCCCGCCCATCTGACCAGGTTTTTCCAGCCACTCTCGGTGGCTTCTAACATGTATAAAAACATAATAAAGCATTAAACATTAAGAAACTATACAGGGCTACCTTCAAATGTGTTCTAAAGGTTGTATCTCTTTGACTGGGGGGGGGTCACATAACTCAATACCCTCCAACATTTCTCAGATAAGAATAGGGATGTCCTCTGTTCCTGCACTGCAGGGGGTTGGACTGGATGACCCTTGAGGTCCCTTCCATGATTCTATGTTTCCATACCCTCCACCATAAATCTGATGAAAACAGGATGTCCTAAGGAAAAGCGGGACATTCTGGGATCAAATCAGAAAACAGAGGAGTGCTTTTGTAAATCTGGGACTGTCCGTGGGAAATAGGGACACTTAGAGGGTCTGCTTTTAAAGCAGCCTTCGCCAACTTGCTGCCCTCCAGGTGTTTTGGACAGCAACTCCCGCCCACTCCAACCACCGCAGATGTGGGTGCTGTAGCAGAGCAGGCTTGGGGGGGGGGGGACTTCATCCCTCCAAGTGTTGCTCGACTCTCCGCTGCCATTATTTCACCACCCCGACCGAACCAGTGTGACCAGTTTTCAGGGATGCTGGAAAATTCCAGCTGCACCTGCAGGGCCACAGGTTTCCCATCCCTGCCGCAGAGGCTCAGGTGTTGTGCCAGGCTTGCATCTTGAAAGTAAGCCCAGGAGCGTATGATTTTTAGCGGGCCTTTTCTGACACATCTGCGCTCCCAGATGGCTCAAAAGCCATCCCGTGGGCATCTCTGCATGGAAATGAGTCATTCAACTTTTTCTGGAGCTGCATCTGTTGCCAGGAGCAGTCAGAACTCTAGGAACTTGCTCACTCGGGGTTTGCGTGGGAAGTACTAGCACATGGCCCACGTGGGGGGGGGGGATTAGCTATGTTAGGAACAGAGGGAGCTGCCTTACTCCAAGTCAGATCCTTGGGTCCATCTAGCTGAGTGTTGTCTATTCAGCTGCAGTGGCAATCCAGGGTCTTCAGGGTCTTCTATCTGGAGATGCTGAGGATTGAACCAGGGACCTTCTGGATGCAAAGCAGATGCTCTGCCACTGAGCCCACAGCCCCATCCTCTTGCAACCTCATGACTAATAGCTGATGAAAGGAACAGAGGAAGCTGCCTTATACAGATTCAGACCACTGGTCAATCTCACTCAGTGTTTTCTACACCAGGGTTTCCCAAGCTTGGGTCTCCAGCTGTTGTTGGACTACAACTCCCATGATGCCTAGCTATCAGGACCAGTGGTTGGGGATGATGAGAACTGCAGTCCAAAAACAGCTGGGGGCCCAAGTTTGGGAAACATTGGTTTATACTTTCAGGCAGCAGCTCTCCAGGGTTCCAGATATTCCAGCCATACCTGGAGATGCCAGGGATCAAAACTTGGACCTTCTGCTTGCAAAGCTGATGTTCTGCTGCTAAGCTACAGCCCTTTGCCTATGTCGAATAATAGAATCAGAGAATCTTAGAGTTGGAAGGGACCCCAAGAGTCATTTAGTTCAACCCCCTGCAATGCAGGAATCTTCTCCCCAGCGTGGGACTAGAAGCCACAACCCTGAGATTAAGCACATTAGTATTTAGGAAGTGGGATGTGGGTGGCGCTGTGGGTTAAACCACAGAGCCTAGGACTTGCTGATCAGAAGGTCGGCGGTTTGAATCCCCGCGACGGGGTGAGCTCCTGTTGCTCTGTCCCAGCTCCTGCCAACCAGCAGTTTGAAAGCACGTCAAAGTGCAAGTAGATAAATAGGTACCGCTCCGGCGGGAAGGTAAATGGCATTTCCGTGCGCTGCTCTGGTTCTCTAGAAGTGGCTTAGTCATGCTGGCCACATGACCCGGAAGCTGTCTGCGGACAAATGCCGGCTCCCTCGGCCAGTAAAGCGAGATGAGCGCTGCAACCCCAGAGTTGGTCACGACTGGACCTAATGGTCAGGGGTCCCTTTCCCTTTACCTATTTAGGAAGTATGAGAACAGTCTGGGAAGGTAGACTGGTATTGCCATCTCAGTATTCCAGAGAGCAGCTCTCAACTGGAGCTGTGCTCTTAGTCCCCATGCTGCCCCAGCTCAGGACCGGGACTGACTTAGGGTGGTGCTTATGGGAAGGTGGGCATCCTTCAGCATCCTGCTGATCTATGCGCCTTACCCCACTGCTATCTCCTTGCTTACCTTAATTGCTTTCATTAAGCTGGCAAAATTCATTACAGCACTCCAGATTTCTTGGCTTTCCATGCTTTGAGTGTCGGGGGTGGGGGAGGGGGAGCCATTCAGACTCGTCAATAGTAAATCTTATTAATGTTCTTGTCATCTGTTAGGATGTGCCTTAATGAAAATATAATGTGCATTTGAGAGAGCTAGCAGAAGTCTTTGCATCTGCTACCCCAAACAATTGGTGCAAGAGAGTTTCTTCCCCCACCCGTTTTCTGCCAGCCGCTCCTCTTGTGCTTCTGATTCTCCCAGCTTATTAGTTCAAGGAGCTTTAAGCAAACATACTGGGTAGCAGCAGCTCTTGCCTGTGGGACCCTCCAGGCTGCTGCTATTTTGCTGGTGTCTTCTGCAGCATGTCATGGGCACAATAATAGCATATTAGTGCTGGATTTATATATGACCTTCTACACTTCATTCTGCTTTATTAGTTGTTCTGCGATGCTTCTGCAATGTTAACGCCTGATTGCTGTCTACAGGGACACTTTTATGCTATAGCTCAACAAAAGTGTGTGCGTGGGGAAACACCCAGAATATCTGCGGCATGGCAAGTTGCAGGATTTCAGTGAGAAGTTTCTTATAGTATTGCCTACCAACTTGGATGGCTTTAAAAGATTGGTCAATTCATGGAAGAGAAAGCTATCAGTGGTTGTTAGCTGCCTGCACTGACAGAGGCATTATGCCTCTGAATCACTGTTACAAACTCAGATATACATATAAACTGGGCGCCAAATGGCTCCTTAAATCAGGATTACAGTCACCAAAACGGAACTCCTAGTTGCCATTTTTGAGCAAGATGGCTCGGAAGTCTTATTTTTCAAAGGAAGGGCTGACTGTGAATGATTCTCAGTTAAACATCTGGCTAGTTCATATGACAGGGACGCAGGTGGCGCTGTGGGTTAAACCACAGAGCCTAGGACTTGCCGATCAGAAGGTCGGCGGTTCGAATCCCCGCGATGGGGTGAGCTCCTGTTGCTCAGTCCCTGCTCCTGCCAACCTAGCAGTTTGAAAGCATGTCAAAGTGCAAGTAGATAAATAGGTACCGCTCAGGCGGGAAGGTAAACGGCGTTTCCGTGCATTGCTCTGGTTCACCAGAAGCAGCTTCGTCATGCTGGCCACATGACCCGGAAGCTGCACGCCGGCTCCCTTGGCCACTAAAGTGAGATGAGCGCCGCAACCCCAGAGTTGGTCACGACTGGACCTAATGGTCAGGGGTCCCTTTACCTTTACCTAGTTCATATGACAACCTTGAGCTAGGTTAAGAACATTGAGAATTTTTGGGTTCCTGAAATTCATTCTGATTGTGCAGATAAAATATAATGGAGAGAATTCGATGAGACATGTTGCTAGTGTGTGAAAACAGGCAAGACCCAAGGATCCCCAAGCATGCACCTCCAGGTGGTAGAGACATCAGCTGCCCTCCTGGCACCTGGGCATCTTCACTTGGTTGCAAGTGGACAATAGCCAGGTGCAAAGTGCAAAGTGAATTCTGAATGCTGCTCTGAATACCAGCTGGTGCAAATCACAGGTGGACAGAGTGCAGTTGAGTGCTGGTCCTGCTCTTGGACTAGATGGGCCATGGGCCCGATCCTGCAGGTCCTCCTTACGTTCTTATTGTCAGGAATAATTTTCACGGTCAGCCACTTGGTGACTGTATTGGCGGACATCTGCCTTTCTGCTGCAAGTGCCAGTGTTTTCTAGCTCTGAGTACTGTGGCTGGATTATCTCAGTCTGCTCTGTTTTGGGCTCTAACATTGTGGGAGTTCTTTTTTTTTTTTTTTAAATATTTATTGGTTTTACAAGAAAAATTTCCAAAAAAAAAAAATACAAAATACAGAATTACAAAAATTCAACAAACAAAAAACAACAATAACCATGACAAAAGACAAACAGAAATAACAGTATCCATAACAAAAAAAGAAAAAGGAAAAAAGAAAAAGATATTCAAAGAATATTATACTTTCATTTATCCTTCTTATCTTTACCTGGTTCTTTGACTTCCCCGCACCTCCCCGCTTGTATTTCCATTTAAAAACTCCTTTCAGCAAATCCTTACCCTCCTTTCATTATCTTAACTCAGAAAACTTAATCTATTTATATATAAATATTTTTACGACCTTATCAGTCAAATATTCCATACTCTTAATCCCAAGGCTTTTGCCAATACCAGTTATTTTCAATCAAACTTCAATTTAACATTCATTAATTTTATAGTATTTCTGTAGATAAACTTTAAATTTCTTCCAATCTTCCCTCCATCCTCCGTCCTGTTCCGCACCCCCCCCCCCATGAGCCCTGCTAGGTGCCCTGCTGGCTCCTTGCGCTGTTGAGAGAGGCTCTTTTGCCCGTGCCTGCCCGCAGTGATTACTCGGCATGGCTGGTGGTGATGTGCTAATGGCAGTTCAATTAATATGATAAGATCTTAATTGGCTGTGTAGAATATTGTCCTTTCTAATCTATGCAGAAACTCCACTGGCTACCAAGAGTGAGGCTCTTGTAATTCTCCCTGAGTCATAATAAAATGGGGACATCAAAGCTCCTGTCTGCCTGGTGATGAACACCAGGGTGGAGTGAACAGAAGGTTGATTGCCAGTGTCACTCACTGGGTTCTTAATTCTTCTTGCCTGAGATTGCAGCAGTACTTGCTGCCCAGCGGTAAGGGTTGTTGGATAGGAGTGAGTCTCTACACAACTTGAGTCCTGGTCTCGGGAAAAGGTGGGATATAGCTAAATAATACAACTGCAAATGGTTGAGTCTCTCAATTTTGGTTTCTCTCACTTTCGATTCTCCACATTTCCACATCAGGTTGCTTTTTCTTTTTAATGCGTCATCGAAAGTCATCAGCAGTTTAGTGCAAGTTTCTCTTAAAATGATTTTTTAAATTCAGTTTGGCCTAATAGACCCATTTTTGCAATGCAGTTTTGCTTAAACTAATGCATTTTTGGATGTTCACTAATATATATACGATTTGGGTGGTAGTCAACTAAGTTCTTGTCCTTGAAATGAGCAAGCATGACTGAGTTAGGTCTAGCCTCAGACTCTAAATACCTTCTATGAAATGTAGTAGATAGACAAACATGTCTGGCTTAGAGGACACGTCAGGCAGGCAGCTGGCCAAGGACTTTATTGTCTCCAGCAGCAGGACTCTGCTCCCTCTGCCCAAGTACAACCAAGTCTACTACCACCTAGTGGCTAAATGATATATGACACTATCCACCCAGCTTTCATGCTCAGCTCAATATATGGTGCATCATTTTTTATACTTAATTGTCGTATGAAAGCCATCTATTTCTAAGAGAACGAAGAGGGGAAACAGTCCTTTTAATCATCTTCAACATATGTTCCCTCTGTGAGGGAGACATTCTGTCTTCGTTCTGCCATCCTCCTTTCTGCTTTGCTTCCTTTAGAAGAAGGCTGGTAATCTCTTTTTGCACCATACTTCGCAGCGATAGTGGAGTTCTGTTTTGGGGGCTGGAATCTGAACAGAACGGAATCTAAGTTTCCTTTTGGATATATATTTAAAATTTTTGGTCGATGTACTTCATTTGACAGCCTGAAATAACTTCTAACTGTGATTTATGTCTCTCTTCCCCGCAAAGCTTTGGCTCATCTGATTGAATGGCAACAGAAAGACAACTAATTCTTTAAGAAAAAAAGATTGAGGCAACTTGCCTGGCATATGCAGCTGTTGAATTTTGTGTGGGTGGGTGGCAGGGAGCAGGGATAAGGCATTTGCTAGATGCCAAATAAACACTTCAAATGAGGGATGGGGCAAGAAGTCCTTTCAGCTTAGAGTACACAAAAATGCATTCTGTTACTGGAAATCAGCTAGCAGAAATGCATGTTCCATTATTGCTATTTATTTGATTTATATTCCACTTCCTCCTGAAGGATCCCAGGGTGGCAAAGCTGCAGACAGAAGTGTGTGCATTGGGAGAAATGCACACACAAATTAGTACAAATGCAGAGTTTGTGTAAGCTTGCCATGGACTGAACTGTCCTCCTCATCAATGCACAGACTCCTGGTCCCATACTGCTGGAGGATGATAGTGATGAAACAGGAGTACTGACCAAAGAATGGGTGTTTGGTGCCAGTGCTAGAATCATAGAACATTTGGAACTGGGTGCTTGATGAACAGCTCTGCTTCCTGCTTTGCATTTTTGAAAAACAAGTTGCCAGTCCTTCACACGGGGCAAAGAAGAAGAAGAGGAAGAGTTTGGATTTGATATC